GCTGAGATGTATTCCACCACTTCATGTTTTTGCACCACGACTGCTGATATCAAGATACTGATGGCTTACTCATGCTTTCTTTTTCAACTTGGTATTAATTCTTTATCAGGTGATACCACCACTTGAAGCAGTAATTGTAAGAAATCATAAGAACCAACCTAAGTCAGACAACATTAGTGGGAATTCCTGGCCCCCTTCTCTTCTAGAAAAACAGGATGTGATCAGAAGTGCACTGTGACCATTGTCCATTCAATGGGACAGAAACGGCATCCTCCCTCCCTGGTTGTTGAGCTGTTCAACTAGTGTCTATACTATATGTTAAATCATTAAAAATTTATCTGTGTTCCAAAATACTGCCTGTTCTCATGTCTTTCCTTGAACTACAAGGCAACTGTACCAAAATGTAAACTTGAAGAATGCAGCGGAGCAGAGAGGGACACTAACTTGAATATGTGTAATAAAGGCAAGCAAGTAGAGGCAAACAGGAAATCTATTTCGTTTCAATCTAAGAAAAGAGCATGCTTCTCTCAGTGGTGTACAGAAAGATGTGGCCCTTTGCAAAAGTGGATTGAGCAGGGAAAGGAATGCAAATGATTGCTTCATGTTGTGAAGATATGATGAGAAATGTCAAATCTGTGCTTCCTGGTAATACTTCTGTGTGGTTTAAGTGATGTTCATTCCTCTTGCAAAAAAGCTTGGTGACTCTGTGGTTGTCAGTGGCTGTCTGACATCTCCTTTCTATTTGTCAGCTAAGAGACTCAGGTTGTTGACTTGTGTTTGGCAGCAGATTTAGTGAGAGCCCCTGATGGAACGACTAGCTCTGCTTATCTGCACTGAGGTCAATGCTGGGGATAATTGAATGGGTTGTGTACTCCTTGATTTCTCTAGTTTACAGGAATATTAATGCTAGTGAAAAATGGTAGCAGCTGACATCTAATGAGGAACAGGTACAGTATTTGGCTGTACCAGTTTGGAAAGAGTAATCTGTGGCAGAAGGGCAAAGCAGTAACTGCCATCTTAGCTGAATTTAAACTTGAGCCATTGGCCTTGAAAGAACCTGCTGTACTGCTCCCTTGGGATGGTACATGGAGAATTGGATAAAAATTCTTATTGTGATGGGCTGGAGTTCTGAAAAGGCAAAAGCAAACTTCAGGCTTGAGGCCAGCAGTTGATGAGTTGGGATCATGGTTTCTGCATTCTCAGAATCTCACTCACTGCAGTGGCAATTCTTCTCTCTATATCCTGTAAGTGTTCAGGCTTTAATCACTTGGAGAACTTTCTAACAAACCACGTTAGTAGTCAATTTTGGAATATAAAGCACTAAGCACAGCAAATCCTAAGCATGAGTCTTTGTTCTGATATGCTTTTAAAAAGCAAACACTTTATTGACTTCCCTTGTCATGTAGCTGCACAGGCTCAAGCTTTAGGATTTGTTCTAGTCACTTAAACTGCAAACACACTAGTTCTTTAACCTAGCACCATAATGTGATGTTTGTTCTTCAGTCCTTCTAGTCAAGGAGAGGTGGGGGAGGAGGTGAAAAGGAATTCACTAACTCAGCAAGTTCCACAAAAGATGGAGTTCAGCAAATTATTGGTGCTTTAATAAGTCCTCTGCATTTCTTTACAACCAGAGGCAAACAACTAACTATATGCAGATGGGGAAAAATGCCAACTTCAAAACCTGCAGGGAAGATGGGAAAGTACTTAGTTCTTCATTTTTGAGCAATGTCTAATTAAACAGGCAGTCCTATCTAATATTTTTGTCAAATAAGGTCTGACTTGTAGCAACGTGCATATTGTCTACATGTTTTCCATTTTTGAGGCAGTCATATGGCCACAGATTTTTCTTAGAAATCATGGTTCTTAGTAGATTAGAAGTATAGGTCTTAAGCAAGAATTCTCAGGATGCTTTCAGATTGAAGCATGTTTGTTGCTGTGGTCTGCTGTTTCGCCTATGGTGAAATAACACAAAGTTGCAGAGTAGATAAAAGAAAGAAATTAATTCTGGCTGAAAAGCTTGCCTTGTAGAAGCTTTTCTAGTATGTATTTCAGTTAAGGGGATAGAAGACCACAAGCTATAGTTGCAAATGGAATGGGAGGCAGGTGTTAGTTCACCTGTGAGATTACAATTAATTTGTTTCTACTATTAATGGTTGAAATGAGGATTAGCACCTGATTTCTTGCCAGTTTAATGGAAGCTTCCAATAAAATCCAGCTCTCACTTATCCAGTGTATTTTCTGTCTCTCTGCATGCACCTACAGAGTAAGGCACGCTAATAAGAATCATCTGTCAATTGTCTGCATTCTGTTCCTGTCCTGCACAAAATTTGTTCAGATTTTAAACTCCTCAGATCAAAAAGACAACTCTACATTTGTAGTTCCTATGACTTCTGACCATGGCCTCACCTGGAGCCTTTAATGTACCTATTCATATGAATAATACCTGTCTCACACACACGCACACAAAAATAAATCACTATTTGAAGAAGTTGGTTGAGTATGTCACAGGTGCCCAGCCCCACCAGCATCCTAAGCTGTTGACATTGTCATATGCATAAAAATGCTTCTATCAGCTGTGTAAGATGACACTGGGTATGCTGTATCCACATCTTCAAACTGAAAAATGTAGATTATTTGCAAACTACAGTTACAGAGCTGCTTAATAATAAAAGTTGTGCTATGTGAGGAAATAAACATGTTCATGCATGGATGAACAGGGTCCTAATTTATCTAAATCGCTGATGCCTTAAAAGTACACATTAAATTAAAAAATCCCAATCCTCTGTACTAGCAAATGCATACAAAAGTATGAGTAAGCAAATGTAATGTACCTCTTCTGATGTCTTTTTCTCTGCTCAACTTCTTGTGTCAGCCTACAAGCTTACTTGTAGTAGCATGTCTCAACCGGTGTAACAGCGAGGATCAGCCAGCAGAGGTTACCACAGCATTTGGATAAAAGCTGGTCTCCTCCCCGTGGAGCCAGGCTGGCAGATGGCCCTTAGACCTGAGTTTCACTGAGCAAAAGGCAGGCAAACCTGCAAGTGCAGAACACGAGTCATTCCGTTGCTCCAGGACAACGTGTGGAGCGTCTGTCTGGAATTACTCCTGCACCTTTGGCTTGGCCACCCAAAGCCACAAAATAAACTTACCTGTGAGGGCTGCCTGGGTTTTCAACCTGTTGGGCAGTCATGGGTGCTAATGTGGGAAAATAGCCACGGTACTGGGGCAACCTGATAGACAACTGTTGTACTAAGATAATAATTATAAAAAAACCCCTGACCCTCACGGCAGGGGGAGAAACTGGAGAGATTTGCCCAACTGCTGCTGTGTGCTGGTCTGTCATGGTGGTTCTCACGCCGCAGGGGAGCTGCGCTCTGACAACGCAGTGAAAAAGGCTCCTCCCTCCGAGTCAGGCTCCGGAGGTGTGAAGGGAAGGCTGTGCCGTCGAAGCCGGGGCTTCTGCAGGGCTGAGGAGGG